AACCTTGTTGGGTACAACAAACTAAATTAGATGAAAGAAAACGCGGTCAAGCATTGACATAGCTTCATTAATTCACTGTGTAGGTACGTAGTCTATGCACGCTCCCTACCACCTAACTAGGTAAGTCATCTCGTGCTAGCCTATTTTCATTTCCAGACAAATATAACTGTTAAAAATTCCCCTATTACGATCTAAATAGCTATTCAAAAAGCTTAAGTTAATAGTAGTTTGCAATGTCGGAAATCAGCATGAATGTATTACTGAGCCATTATCAATATGAAGTGCTTCATTCATCAATGTAAATTTCCTAAACCATGGATAAAGTTGTTTTAATATGTTCACTAAAATAAGTAACTTAAATATCTAGTAACATGCTATAAATTAGTTCAATCTGTTCAATTTGAAATGGATTAGATTATCCTGTTGTTGAAATTTTGACTGAAATTTGATCATTCTTAGTTGGATATGGTCCTCGATATGGGTATTGTGACACGAGTGAGGATAGAATAGCTGAAATATGGATAGCAGTGGAATCCTCTAAGTGGCTCAAGTGATGGAATTCGAAGACAACGGTATTAGATTCAAGTCCCAAATAGGACGAAATATGCGTTCTGGATTCCAATGCAAGACACCTATTTATCTTACACTAATCAATGTATATTTAGTTTCCGGTTAAAATCCTTCCATCTGTCAAGAGGAGTGTAACTAATATGTCGCGAATATTTAGGTTTCTATTCATGTTAATTGGTATTACCACATAGTAAATAAAGTATAATTGTGTTGTGGAATAAATCATTCTTCTAGTTGTACAATGTTACGGGGAAATAATAATACACAATTCGAACTAGAATACAAAATTAATTATTAGTGCTTTAGTGTAGCTCAAAAAAATAAAATATCAAATGGAGTCGACAATATGGCAAACGATTCCAGGAATTACATGTTTGATGGAAACATTGAGTGAATACAGTTAGGACCCATTCGAGAAGAATGATTTTCTTTCAGTTGTACAGAATTGCAACGCTTGCATCAATGTTACTAATTTGTTTTTGTAAAAGAAACTTGTTGAAATACCACATTCTGAGTATTCTATGTTGTACCAAAATATAATACTGAATTAAGCCATTGATAATAATGGGTGTTAAATCAAATCTTATAAGTCCCTTTAAACATCCATTTCAAATGATTTTGCATCAAAATCAATCAAGTAATATAATTATATCAGAGTGGGGATTGGTGGAGATTGTAGTAAATTTAATAGTTGAATTCATGATTCGGTCTAAGCTAGACCACCATTCAAAATCTGAAAGCATTGAACGGCCATTTCGTCCTGAGAGTTCGCATGCGAAACTGAAGGTCTTAGGTTCGAGTTCCATGTGTGCACTGTTGAGGAATCTCATATCAGGACCAAACGGACGTCCAGTGCATCCAGGTATTTACTGGTGGTCTAGCTTAGATCGACTCATGATTCTAACTATTAAAATATAAAAAAATATAATGAAAAATCACCATAAATTTCTGATACCCCAGTGGATAGGAAATTGAATTTCAATTACTTTTTGTACTAGTGTAAGTCTCTTCAATAGAGGTTAAATAAATAACCGCCTTCAATGACACATATTTAAATAGTACAAAGAAACAAAGTAGAATATTTAGTGAAATCAAAAACAAATTTGATCAAGTCGCTGTCATATCATTCCGGTCAAGGTGACTTGTAAGTGAAACATGTCTATGTATTTGTGTGTATATTAGTGGATATGAAGAAATATGTGATATTTGCAATGTGATAGAGTTGAGTTAAATTTGTATGATTGTTAATTGTATAAGGTGTTAAATAAAATTAAACATGATTGTTTGGATAAATATTTCAAGTAGGGGCATTCTTTTCTACGTCAACCCAGTGGGAGTTAACAATAATTTGAAGGCTACTAACCTTTCTTTTAAGTTGGAAAAATCTTTGTGAATTCACTATGCTACTCTGTCACATTGCAAATATCACATTTTCTTCACATCCATTAATATACATACATATACACAGACATGTTTCACATACAAATCACCTTGACCGGAATTATATGACAATAACATGATCAGATTTGTTTTTGATTGCACTAAATATTCTAATTAGTTTCCTTGTCCTATTTAAACGTATGTTAATTGAAAGAGGTTATTTAATTATCCTCTATTGAAGAGACTTATACTAGATCGAAGAAATGCCTGAAATCCAATTTTTTACCTAGTGGGATATTATGAAAATATCTCATAGTTTTTAATTACAACAAAGTATTTGTTTTGTGTGTGTGCGTGTGTGTGGAAAATGTGACAATTTATTGTATGATAATTTAATATATTTTATCCGTCAATTCACAATTTCACAGGTTGAAATCATGAGTCAGTCGAAGCTAGACCACCATTGAGAACCTGGAAGCACTGGACGGCCGTTTCGTCCTAGTATGGGACTCGTCAGCAGTGTGCGTCCACGAACCCGCCCCCGCGGGATTCGAACCCAGGACCTACTGCTGAGGAGTCCCACACTAGGACGAAACGGCCGTCCAGTGCTTCCAGGTTCTCAAAGGTGGTCTAGCTTCAACTGACTCATGATTTCAACCTGTGAAATTTACTAAAATCTCCACAAAACTCATTCTGATAATTCACAGTTTCTGGCATTTTATTTGTAATGATATTTAGAAATAGAAATAGGAAATAGTTATTTTTAAACAAAGAAACTACTGTTGTCAATTGGATAGAATATAGTTCAAAAATTATTTGTAATTGTGTTTTTTCTGTTACTTGTAATCAAGTAATCAGAGACAAATAGTCTTCTCTATTCATAACTTTAATACATAACTAGCCATTAAGAGTAGAATATACTCGTAAGCTACTAATATTTGACCACAGATGTCTTAGAAATATTGCTTGCATCTGTTGGGATCACCGGGGAAGTAATAGTGAGATTCGACGCATGGTATTAGGGAACGATGGTAAATCAGTTGATGAGGTTGTGAATCTTCATCGACTGAGATGGTTGGGCCATGTGTTACGTATGCCTGAAAACCGATTACCACGACGCGCAATGCGGACTAGTGTTGGAGGCGACTGGAAGAAAGTTAGGGGTGGCCAAACCAAAATATGGCATTAGTGCTTGAAGTCACTAACTTCTAGTCTGAGTCACGTTAGTAGATGTAGACTACTTGGTTGGGGTCCGCGTGACTATCGTAACCAATGGTCGGAGACTCTGGGTAACATGGCTCAGGATCGATCACAATGGTATCGGTGTATACACTATCTGTCTTCCCTTAAACTATGAGACTAAAATTATTTTATATCTTTCTATGTACGTACTAAATCTTTCTTCCTATGCTATATCCTTATATGCAATATTTCCTTTATATATTACACCATTGAGTTAACTGCTTCTATGAATCTGGTGTCCATCTTGCTGTGCTAATGAGGTATGGCAACTTGGACTGATGCATATATGTGCCTGGTTCTACATTGTAGCTGACTGACATAACTGATGTATGGTGATAAAGTGTTTAGACTGCACATCGCCATTACAGTCTTTCACTAGCTTTTTAAAGCCTCACTTAAAAAAGGATTATAAACCTTATCAAAAAAGTAGTAAATATTTGTGAATTACACTAATCAATGGATTTATGCTAATTAAGGTGTTTTCTGGGCATTATTATTGGCAATTTTCGCAGGATTCGAATCCATGTCACAGAGCTGAGTCACTGCTTAAATGGGTGCATCGATTTTTGCAAGATCGCGAATTCATCCCACTGATGGGTAGCAATCAACATAAAATCTATATCCAGGGATTTTTGCTACTAGTCATTGAAAATATTTTTTGGCATTAAAATGAGTATCAGGTGAATAGTTTTTTTTTTAGAAAATTAGATTTCTGCTAAAATCATCTAGTTCCCAATATAGTGGATGATATATGACATCGTCGAAACAAAAAATTACAAATCAAAGTGATGTGTAAAACCTACTGTTTACACTTACTTACCACTAATAGGTAAGGTTAGATTAATTTGATCTGTAAATGGGGATCTGTGTATTTAAAATCACTGGTCATAAAATAACTAAAAGTAACTGAGAGCATATGTCTCATCAAAATTGCATGTACGTCCTGATAACGTGTGACAGCTAGTGTTAAACCAAAGACCTGGGTTTTATAACAACCACCTCCATCGATCTTAAATTAAGATATTGTGCAACGTTAAGTTAGTTAAACCGGTAGTTACATTACAACTTGATCGATAGAATCTGATCAGCACTAAACTACAACACAAATGTGACATTGACCACTAGTCAGTAATCAATATATATATATATATATATATATATATATATATATATATATAAGGACGAAATGACCGTCCGGCGCTTCCAGGTTTTCAATGGTGTTCTAGCCTAGATGGACTCATGAATTCAACTGTTTAGTTGACAACTTTTACAGTATATTGTCCTCTTCCAATATTCGACTTAAAAAGACATAGAATAGAGAATAGTAGGAAGTGGATGAGGTATTTCTTATTATTTATCTGTGTTACTCATTGAAGTCTGTCGTTACTTATTATTATTATTATGATGACTATTTTTATGTCAATTGAGTAAGATCACAGTTGTTCAAGTCTACTTCTTCAGTCTAGACAAAATGTTCTTTGATTTTTAATATACAAATTTTTTCCTGTTCTCAAACAGTCGTACCTGTAATTTAATGTTACACTTTTAAAAAAACAAACAAATGAAATTTACTAATCAAGTTCAATTTTTCCCATCTGACTTTCATGTAAACTTATTATTACATAATAGCTAATAAGATTATTTAGATATCGAAAACTTCTGTATAATTTAATAATCAGATTTCAATTTTCGATAAAATAACTGATAATTGAATTTAGTTTCAATCATGTAATAACTAGTTAAACAAAAATTTATTCATATACATTGAAACACTATGATATAAATGAATTAGTTCATTGAAAACTTACAATTTTAATCGCATACCAGCAGTCGCAGCCAAATAAATTGGTGTACGCTTTTTTTGTTCAACTGTTAATTTACTTGTTAATTTAACAAGTTTCGGTTTTAATATTTCATAAGCTTTAATTGGTTCATTAATATAAGCTGATATGCCAGGAGCTGGATGATAACGATTAGAAAGAAAGAAAAAAAATACAAGTTCTCATTATGATATTAAATAAATTTGTCTTCAGTTTAAAGTTTCTCCTATAGTATCTAGTTTTCAATGACCTGTCAACAATAAATATAAGTTTTACACACATAGTTCCCTTCATTATTTTGAAAAGAGCAAGAACACAAATTCTAGTAGAATAATATGAATTCATTTTATCTCGTTGGCTCTCGTCAACTGATTAAAACCTGTAATATTCAAAAATCATAATTACAAAATGGGTTTAAATGACTTACCTGAAAGTATTTAGTCGGACGTTATATTGAAGATATATTGGTATAGTGAGGATGTAAATAAATAAACTAGACTGAATATTGTAAATATATACCTTACGTAAAACAAAATTCTACAACACTGATTGTGACAACAGTTCAAACGGCTAGAAACAAGTGATTACATAATGAGTAAACGCTGATAGGAATAAAATGTGTAGTCTGGAAGATAATTAAAATAAAAACTCAATGATGTAATAAATACAAGAAGAGTTTTTAAAAAAATGTTTAAGATTCAACGGAGGAATATTTGTCACCAAGGCAAGGAAAGGTTAATAACCATCTCCTTTTGAACACATGAATCAGGTTTTTGACGTCTGATAGCAACGGCTTTAGCAAACTTTAGAAGATTGAAGTTTGGTTGTTCACTAATCACCTTGAAAGATTGCAAGGTATCGGCCTGATGTTCTGCATCCAAGAGATGTTTGGTAATTGCATTGTTTAGAGTCCTTTTTCCTCTTGTTCTGAGACTTTTTGGAACATGTTCAAAAAATCTAAGATATGCTCTCCTTTCTATTCGGCCAATGTAGCTACTTTGGCAGGTATCTATTTTCAATATTTAGTTTATTAAATTTATTTACACCCTCACTATACTAATATATCTTCAACATAACTTCTGATTAAACACTTTCAGGTAAGTCATTTAAACCCATTTTGTAATTATGATTTTTGAATATTACAGGTTTTAATCAGTTGACGAGAGCCAACGAAATAAAATGAATCCATGTTATTCTACTAGAATCTGTGTTCTTGTTCTTTTTAAAACAATAAAGGGAAATATGTGTACGAAAGTTATATTTATCATTGGCAGGTCATTGAAAACTAGACACTGTAGAAGAAATTATTCATTTTATTATTGAGGCAGTTAATTAGCAGTACAAAATCACAATCCTCTTCCTCTATGAGTAGTTGTATCAAAGATTTTTGGATCGTATGTTGATCATGATAAATGTAAACCTGAAATGACGGGAAAAGTCAAAATTCGATTGATTTACTCTTTATGATTTTTAGTCAACATTACTTCCATTTTGATTCAATGTAATGAATATTCAGTGTAGTATTTGTTTTGTTTTCCCATATGACATTTTATTCTGTATTACATACGATATTCTTGTATTAAGTTAACATGAAGCATATGATTTATTATAACTAAGTATTTTTCATATATGTGACTTTATTCTAATTATTAATCGAAATGGATGAGTGTAATTTTGACTAGGGTCGTCGTCATTGTGTTTCACGGTTACTAACAGAGTTTAGGAGCCGAATGTGGCGTTCAATCTAGAAGATATATCAAGACCAATAAGTTTAGGTAAAGTGATTCAATTAGAACCTTCAGTTAATGTGTGATCCAGTGTAAAGAATCATTCAGCTCCATAAGTGACATTCGTTTCAGTGAGATGATAATGAAAATCTGTCGATCAAGAAGAATTTTTTAATGATATTCCGTTTACTGATCGAAACAGATTAAATCACTTTCAGCCAGCAGTAGATGAAGAAGTTGAACAATATTGTTATATCTTTTGCCGGTCAATTATCACCTGACAAGATCGCGAATCAGGATCCGATTCACACGACCTTGACCCTATGCCAAACCAATGACGCGTTAACCAGGACGAGCAGCCTAGAGTCAACTTTGAGTTCTTATTGGTTATTCTTGCCTTGCCCTACCCGTTTAATTCAGAACACAATCTCAGATTCCACTGTATGAATCGTACATTTCATACATACGTAGTTTATATACAAGCAAACCAGACCGCATCACACCGTAAAGTTGAAAATAATACAAGATCAAGCCAAAAGTGGCTGTGAGTGTGAGAGACTGTGACTAACAAATCGGGAATAAGTTAAGAATGGCAAATCGTATCTCAACAACAAATCGGTGTAATGAAAGGAATACAAAAATATCTATTCTGTTTACTTAGTAATTATCCAATAAGAATATATGTAATAATCGTCCATAAATGATTCCTATCAGTTACCATTCATTTATTCTTTGTTAGAATATAACAGATATGACAACTCAGCAAGTTGATTTATAGTAGTAAAAAATTTTGCCATTCAAAATAATTTCAGCAGAATAATGTTTAAAAGTGTACTGTATATTGCTTTGAGTAAATTTCAGTTTTAAAAAACTGATGCACTTTATTACAATGGATAATTAGGTGGATAATACTATCAACAAATACACACTAAATGTGCGGCCAGTACTCTTGTACAGGAGAAAGGGTTCAGTTTTTAGCTGTGACATCCATTTAACCGGATGACAGTCTAGTAGTCATAGATACCTGAGACACGCTAATGAATATTTAATGATACACGACAGAAATCTACTTAGTATTTCTATCATACTGGAATACAGACATACCTTTTGGCATTATAAAACGAACTAATTTTATTTTAGACATTGTTTAAATAAGCAAACAACATCCATCTTTATTATCTATGCTCCATTGGTTTTGAAACATTATTTTACGCAATAATATTGAATAGCTTTGATCAAATTTACTGGTTAAATACGATAAAATTCAAAATATTTTGGACTATAAGTTTTACCATACACTTTTAAAGTGATACAACACCATATGTACAATGATATAAAGAATTAAAACTTAATGTCTGAAGGGTTAACTGAAGTCCTGCATGACCAATGATTCGAAGACTTTTAACCGAGTGTAGAAGGCAAATTAACTTAATGATAGTAGCTTTATTCATTACTGTAAATTTTAGTACAGTAAAGAAGCCTTAGCGTCAGTTGTTCAGTGTTGGGAAACAGTTCTCGTTAGAATACATTTGCATCATAATTATTCAAAAATTACATTCTACAAATGATTTTCTTAATAATCAATAGCTTCCACTCCTTTTCAGCAGAGTGGGCATGCCTGTAGTGTCGTTCACTATGTTAAGCCGATATAACTATTCTAGGTTCTGGACAGGTCAATTGATCCATTCTTTTTGAGTCGCGTTTTGACTTTGTTAATTATTCACTTATTAACCTTGACCGTCTTTATATGAGCGTATGTGTGTGTAGATCTTATCCTACTCATCACATGTTTGTAGCTCATTTTTGTGTCACTATAAATGTCGATTAACGCTTGATTAAATGTAGTTGGCTCACACGCTTTCTCCACTACGCGTCCTTTTGTTTCGCTTAGCTCTCTCATCTTCGCTACGTCTCTCTGATTGTCTGTTCCGATCAACTAGTGTACAAAATATACGTATTCAAACATCCATTCCCGTATTTGACTTATTTAATTTCGTTATTCACTAACGCGATCTAGGTCGATAATTATATACGAGGATTGACGATATATATTATCAATAACGATCAGACATTTCACTCGAAAAAAATAAGGAAATGGCCGTGCAATTAATGTTAACCATATAACTGGAGTCAGATCCCGAACCACTAAAGTGACGAGCCCGTCGATAACATAGTCCTCTCTAACTGACGTCAAAATGGAGGGTTCCACTAAATGCTTTCCGTTTAGTTTGAATAGCTACATTTCTCATTTATAAAATATTAAATGCATCAATTTGATTGTGTTTGTTCCTTTTTTTTAAAGGGAAAACGAGGAAGAAAATATGTCAAGTTCAGAAATTCCGTTTGAAATTTCCAGTACCTAGCATAATGATGTATTGTAAATTTTTCATAATACTGTATTTGCGTATATAGAGTTAGTATGTATAATTACACAATTCGAACAAATCTAGTGAGAAGCAATGACCAGAGAAGTACAACTCTGTCAAGTATGAGACAGTTACTCACTGAAGGCGATGGAAGATGGCCAGGCAATATGACCGATCGATTGCAGTTAGACATGTATGCCGTTGGATCTCAGTTCAGTGGTCTAGATATTAGGTATTCTCATGCTAGTCCGAAGATCCTGCGTCCGATTACCGATTGCGGGGTCGTAGATTTACACTACTAAGGAGTCCAATACTAGGATGGAACAGCCATGCAGTGCCTCCAGGTTACCAATATTTATCTAACTTAGATTAATTCATAATTTCAATAAAATTCAACAATTGCCACAACCATACACTGACAAATCTAATACATGAAAGTTTATTGTAATATTTGCAAAGTTGAGAAATAGGTGGACCAAAAGTTTGAACAGACCTCCTACCAAAAATAACAATCAATGAGATTATGGAATATTAAGAATAATGAGATTAGTATCAGAAGGGGTTTTGTGGAGATTGTAGTAGTTCCAAAAGTTGAGATCATGAGTCAATTTAAGCTAGACCACCATGGAAAACCTGGAAGCACTTGACGGCCGTTTCGTCCTACTGTGGGACTCCTCAGCAGTGTGCGTCACTCAATTTCGTGGATTAGTTGAAGTTAGACAATAACACCGTTGGAGGCCGGCTCAGTGGCCTAGTCGGTTAAGTGCCTGGAGCGAGACTGATAGGTCGTGGATGCGCACTACCGAGGAGTTCCACAATAGGATGAAACCGCCGTCCAGTGCTTCCAGGTTTTCCATGGTGGTCTGGCTTCAATTGACTCATGATCTCAACTGTTGAAATAATGAGATTAATCAACGGTAGAAGACGTTTATGTTCTTTAAAAACAAAGTGAAACAATATTGAGGCATTACACACAGTATGCACATATGCCAATAAGAGAATGATCAATTGCAGTCTTAAATATCAATGGGAAGATTCAAGTAAAACAGTATCAAGTGAATTAATGTGAAACACTGTTTTCAGCAAAATCATTATCAGGCTTGAGAGTTTTCAAGTCAATAATCATTGTATCATAACTGTCAAAATAAAGTACATCGGTGAGTTAGACAATGTTGTGTTGTGTTAGGAATGAATGGTGAGCTTTTGCATTTGATACAGTGTAAATACTATAGAATCATATCGTTTGTAAATTAGAAAGGTCATTTACGAAAGGTTAGAATGATTCATTGTAAGGTGTTAAGTTACAATCGATGCAATGACAATAAAATAAACCATGTGAATGAAATGCATGGTAGAAGAAATTTAGTGTGATTAGTGGGGGTAATAATAATAATAATAATAATAATAATAATAATAATAATAATAATAATAATAATAATAAAGTCATGTGAATTTAATATGTAGAGTTGTTGCCAGAGCGATTGTGGCGAGAAACGCACGTGAATTAACAAAAATGACTATGTAAATTAAAAATGGTACAAGGTAGATACGAACATGAAGGGAATCACGGGTAAGGCATTACAACATATGGTTTAAATATGTGGTGGTCCGATAGTGGTGCAAGATAAATATGGAGCTTGAACAAACATCTTTTAGATACATAAATTAAGTCTTGGAGTGGTTCCTGATGGCTTTTGTTATGTAGAGGAGTTGCGTACCAATTGACTTTATAATAATGTAACTCCTGGAGTTCTATTTAGAAGCTGTGACCAGTAGATGATTTTACTGAAAATGCGTTATCTGAGATGAGTCGTTCAGTTATAATGCTTGCATCACCGTTTAAAAATAACCATCAGCACAAACCTCTGAAGTTTGTACTCAAAATAAAAACGCAATTTCAGAGAACGAAGGATGAATTCATATCCTAATCACCACTTAAACGATCGAATAATCGATAGTTTCGTACCAATGACCAAGATTTACTTGAAATGAAGATACATTGAAAATTAAGTTACTTCAGTTTTATAATACTTAACGCTTATGTATTTTAAATTGAATAACTCTGTGTTCACATAATGATCTTTCCAAGGTCATTAGGGCAACAATTAATCGATAAAACAAAATACAATCATGCACACTAAACTACATACATTTTTATGATTTCTTTACGTTCTATAATCCCTGATAGCAATTTTTCAGAAGGGGAATTAAATTTAATGATAATGGAGTCAATTTAAACTTTAAGTAATCACTAATAATTAAACGATTAACAACATTATAAGCTATTCCGATGTAGGACCGTATTTAAAGATTATCTAGAGAGTGAATATGCTGTTTTTATAATGATAGTTGTAAGCAATATTGAAGTGGAAAACTTAAGAGGAACAAGTTTTTCGTTTTTCCTTAAGTGTGATTTACATGTTACATCGAGTTAATAGGACAACAGTGATAGTAGCATATCAATGATATTAAATTAAAAAAGAATGTACGGTTAATCATTTCAATGTTAAGGGAAAATGAAACGGATTCACGAAATGTGTATGAGCAAATAAAGACTCTCTTATACTTACTGTTATAGAGACATTGGGATGAATATTTATACAGTAAACAGTTCGTTAAGTTTTTAATAACAATAAATCACAACGAATCTAGATAAGTTTATCAACCATTCAAAGTCTCTATACGTAGTATAGTATGTCAAACATCTTTTTTGTCAGGTTACAGTATCTCAGATACCAGTTCATTCTGTAATAAGTTTTCACAATAGATAATAATCATAGGGAAATTTATTTTACAAATTACTAGTGATATTCTGTTTATATTTTGTAGTGGCAGGTACTATGTCAAGCCCATATGGGCTATTCTGGCCTTTGGACAGACCAATTTATTCATTCTTCTCAAGCAACATTTTGTCCTGTCACTTATTCGTTTATCAACCTTGAGTGTTTTGATGTAAGCGTATGTATTCCAGTTGCTTGCCCTATTCATCGTGTGTCGGTAATTTGTTTCTTTTTTACGCTTGATAAAATCGAGTTGGTTCACTCGTCTTCTCCTCTAAGTAGGTTTCGCTTCACTTTATCCGCTTCGTTTCATTGATGGTCTTGCTGAGATCAGTGAGTGTACGAAATATACATATTCAAACTTTATTCTCGTATTTGACTTATTTAATGCTGTTATTCACTAACGCGGTAAAAGTCGATAATTATAGACGAGGATAGCTGGGATATATATTTCGATAACATAATCATACGATCTAATTGGAGTCAAATGAACAGCAACTAAAATTTTGCATATTTAATTTGTAAAATATGGTCGAGTCTACACGAGTAAAATCTTCAACCACCAAAAATACAATGAAATCAATCAATTTAGGTAAGAATAACTGTTGTCTTATAAACGTTTACCAACAGTCTGGTCTGATTTCTAATAATTAATCAGACGATTATCAATGAAAGTAAGCAGAAACATTGCTTTTTCAAAAAGGTTAACTAAATTAAATTTCGATAGAATAAATCACTTACAAACTTTTTCATTAGTTACTTCATCAACTTTTCCATTTGATCGAAATGGTTCATCGATCCATTTATATAAATGAAGTTTTGAAGAAGTTGATCCTGCATCAATCACCACTGAATACTATAAGATAATAAACAGAATATTATATAAACAAAGATGAATGGAGAAAAAAATGCAATCGATAAGATAATCCAACCTTATAAAAAATATAATGAACCATTTTGTCAGAGGTTTGAACTCTCCGTTCCATTTATTTCGATTTCAATAACAGAATATCTCGTTGAGGTCATTGTGATAACCATGATAAGCGATTGTAGACGTTGGGTGACGTAGCTCATAATCAAACACAAATGCACTTCTTGTCGTTTTCTAGATTTCAAGCAACAGTATTCCTTGATATATGCTACTTAATTCTTTCTTATCTTAAATAATGTTCTCTCTCGTTATCTCAATTTCTTTGTTATTCATATTTGTCAAGTTCGTTCTGTTGTGATAATGTCGTGTGCAAATTAGACTTCAGGAAACTTCTGCTAGGAATGTAAGTTAAATATAACTGACTGATACCTGCATAGTGAACTGATTTCGCACAATTATTACTCAATAATGTATTGAGTGTAAACAATCCACAATTTAACACTGAGTTGTAGTAATATAAAACAGTAATATTTTAAATGAAATGAAATTATAAAACATTCGGTGGGACTATAATTTATGGACGATCTTTGAGGGACGCTGAAGTGACCTTGAGAGTGGACACCTACTAATTAAGACGAAATGAGGGTTAGAAAGCAGCTAGAATCCTCATTTACAGTTGATGTTTAGGGTTAAAAATTAGATTTAGGTTTTTCATCACGAACTGACATCAGCTATGATGTCAAAACTTTATTTAGTCAGATGTATGGATGAATTTCGCGCCCAAATTCCTGACTCGTTATCTTATATCTGATTGGTTCGCCCATAAATTATAGTCTCGCCAAACATTCAATAAAAATTCTGAAAAAAGGTATTTTACAATATTAAAACAACAGTACTTACCACATCTGGAATGTTATGACTTATAATATACAAGACAATGATAATTATTAGTCCAATAAAACTGATCACCAAAATAATTAAAGCTAATATTTTTAAAATCTTTTGAAGATTAGTATTACGTTCCATTATTTTTCGAGGATCTAATGAAACATTACTTATCTAAAATTGAAAGTATTCAATAGAGTAACACGATAAATAAGAAATGACAACAAGTATATGAAGGAAAGGAAGTTTTAATCTTAAATTAAAAGAAATCAAGATATTTTTCAATGATTTTATTACTACTATTGTTAGTAACATAATAGAGATAGTCATTTATACCAATACACCCTTCATTCATTAGAATGAGCTCGATCAGGAAGTTATAAAATGGTAATCATTTGAAACAGGATAATATTTTAAAGTAACAAGTAATGGATGTTGTTTTTTACAACAAATAATTCAAATGAATAACTCTCTTTTTAATTTTCCCATTGATGTTTAGAACTGCAGTTGATCAGTCTCATAGTGACATGTGCATCCTGTACGGATTGTCTCGATGTTGCCTTAAGTCACAAGTATTATAAGCTAACGGTATTGAGTTCGAGGACTGGAGTGAACATCAGCTCTGAGATGCAGGTACATCCAGCTGACGAGTCCCAAATAGGACGAAACGCGTCCTGGATTCAATTGCTAGACACCATCTATCTTTGCTTAGATGAATAGGTTTGCATTCTAGAACTTTACTATATTTATTATGAAAGAAACTTATAATCTACAGATTTTATCTTTCAAAAATATGAAGATAGTTATCAGTTAAATTGTTTTCTTTTCCCTATAGCTATTTTATGTTCATCAAACGATAATATAGTTTGGAAATACACAATAATTCCTTAGAATTAATTATGATTGGAGTGTAATCGTTTTTATTTGAATTTCAGACATTAAGGTAACAATTAAGTGTTGATTATTTTTATTACATCCGTTGAATTGATTATTAACCTCGCCCTTTAATTATCAATGTCGTTAAAAAGATACATCAAATACTTGGATGACTAGTTTCGGTACAAAGAGGACTGAAAGACATTTACATCTTAAATCATGAAACTCGCTTGTATAGTAACCCAACGATAAGTTTGTACAAGAAATTTGCAATCTACATATATCGTGAATCGTAATGCATTATTTAAATCATATTATTAGGATAGAATTAGTCAATATTTTACAACGTTCATCAATCTGCGATTTTCGGTAATCCACAGTGAAGCTAGTCACATATACTTCTTGATTCTAAAGTTTTCATAGTATGAAATACTTCAACAGTGTACATCTACGACCTTAAACAGGGTATCAAACTCAAGTCTTTGTAAATTATCCCTAGTTCTTTTAATATAATATCAGCATTTTGTGAAAGTCAATTAGAAGTAGCATACTGAGAAGGTCAATCGATGGGTATCAGGAGTAACTTGAAGGAAAAGTGCATTTGATTGACTAAGAAATCGGTTAATTTCCTAAGAATAGAGTCGTATGTATATATGTATATATGAGTATTTGTGCATTTTATTCGGTAGCCAAATACACTTTCTCGGTCAAGTAGTTAGTTAAGAGGTTAGCATGTAGCACACCATGTATCAATATCAGATATCGGACACCGCCTATCACAACAGTTAAACTTGAAATTAAAAGTAAAAATATAGGCAAATTAAACAAATCACCTAGAAAAAGCAAATAATCCATTACTGGTTCTGTTATTTTCGATTATTTTTTATATAGAAAAAAAAGTGTTAATGAGATTACAAGAAAACAATATGAAATCATAAATTACATCATACACACATGTGTACATAGATATATATATGCACAATACACACAAATATTTCATCAAAATTAAATTATGAAACTAAATTCAAATTGCGCCATTCAATGTTCAAATATGAAAAGAGTATTCAATTAAAAATACAAATTATAAATTGTAATAGCTATCACAAATAAATTATGATTTTTGTTATGACTAAAGTTTGGAAATTATTCTCTGTTCAATGTTGGTATGGTTTATTCTAAACAAGAATGAAAATCGATGGGATACAAATCATTTTCATTAGATTTATTGCGAATAATAATAATAATCGTTTTTTTCCTTATCCAGTTAGTTAATCGAAAACACGGAATGTCACAATATAATCTCATATAGATAAATGTTTCTAACAGAAAAATACAAACAAACAAACGCGCGCGCACACACACACAATAAACTACAGATATTCTAACATTGTTTTTTATAATCTTAATGAGAAAAAATAAATATGAATTTGATATTTGTTTCTAACTTAGATCTACACGATCTGATCATCACTGTGATGATATTATCTTGGATTCCAAAGAAAAAAATTGATCATCAACTTCTTATCTCACAATAAATCCAAATATGCACAAATCCAAAGACATTTTGAGTCGAAAACAAAATAAATCTTTTTTTAAAATTTGAATAAAACCCTCGAAATATATATATATATATATATATATATATATATATATATATATATATATATATAATTTCCATAGTTTCAATTACAAACTAAACTTGATCAAACCACCACCACTGAAAACATGATATTAAATTTATGTAAAATAATGTACTGAAATGAGAATTATTATGTCACAATCTATGTAGGTAACTTTATTTTTGATAAGAGTCAAATGGATTAGGTTAAGGATGAATCACAAATACTATTCAACTGCTATAAAACATATTTACTTTTTTTCTAATCTATAAGTATTACTACATTGAAGAATATTTAGTAACGCGAACTGAGTACAAATAACTAATATTATGCAGATTGAAATCATGAGTCAATTGAAGCTAGACCACCATGGAAAACCTGGAAGCACTGGATGGCCGTGTCGTCCTAGTATGGGACTCCTCAGCAGTGTGCATCCACGATCCTGAACCCAGCGAGATTCAAACCCAGGACCTATCAGTCTCGCGCCAAGCTCTTTTTATTTTACAAGTTTTGAATTGTAACTAGCAGTGAAAGATAGGATATGCATCTTATCCTATTTAGACCTCGTCAGTTAAATGTACCTGTACTCCATTGCTGATGTTTATATTGGAACTCATCTATAGAAAATCCTCTGCATATAAGCTTATTCATAAACGACAATTTCTTTTTTTTTCTCATTAAAATTAACAAAAAAAACGGTTACTCTTTGTTTATGACTACTATTTCTCGATACTTTTATCACATCAATAGAGAGTAATGATGAAATGTTTACAGAGTATTCATCAAATGATGTATTTATTATTGACAGATACAAAGCTTCAACAATGTTGAATAAAAATATCTTTTGTAGATGTATACTTGAAGTTTACTTACAAAACCAACCATTGACTAACTTAAAATTAGATAAGAGAAAAAAAGTCTATGAAGTAAATAAATCTAACATATTTGAGAGAGAAAAGAGTCAATATCTGATTTTACATTCTACTAACTAGTGTTATGGTAATTTGTTTTTGCTTAAGAATACCAAAGAAAATAAGATGACCACAATCAACATGGTTAGTTGAAAACTACAGTAAATAATAATAATAGTAATAATCGAGTGATATTACTATGAACAAAAGCAAAGTATCATTTTCAATTCGATTCCTGTTAAAAATGATGTGAAGATCGGTATATTTTCTGGAGAAATTATGAAATAGAAAGAAACATGTAGTCTATTGAAGATTTCAGACATTAAAGTAAATAAACACAAACATACACACAGAACATTCGAATGAACAAAGTTTGTAGATAGATGGGAGTTGTCAATGAGTGAATAGTTGAGTTTTGCAGTACTGAAGTGTAATGTTTGAAGTTAACGACACACTGACAATCATAGTGAGAAAAATTCAGTCTTCAAGATTATCCTTGCGTATACATGTTTTACACAGACAGTATTCAACTAATCGTTAGTAAATAACTTTGAGACGCTATTTCACAAAGCGTTCAGTGAAAAATTATCACTGGCGTGGGGGGTTATCTACGTCAAGAGGTTATCATTGAGAACTTTGAATAATCACTTGTCTTATTACCAATGTGAACTGTCTATAATTTCAAAATGTATATTATTGAATCCTGACTCATTTGTTTAGGCATATTATCCTCAGAGTGAAAAGTGAAGATTGTGGATTTGCGCGCTTAAAGTTGTACGTGAACGCACTGATTTCCAGTGATTATCTCCATATGGTGTCAGTCAGTAGTTTGTAAACTATTCATCAACTCGATTTGTGAAATTATTTGACGTTAGCTGTTATTTTCTTATTAAAAATGTGTTACTACATCGACACTATGTTAGTTTTCAAGGTTATTTATGGAGTTCTGTCTCATGTGCCCTACGCTTCCGGCATCCGCCTCTTATTTACAGCGGAAGCCATAGAACACAAAACAGTAAACCTAATCTTTGTGTAAAGAAAATATTTGTACAACATCGTCATTTACTCTGGCCTTCTACCTAGTTTTTTCTTACGTTTTTTTCAAAATATTCTTTCAATCCTATTTAAGGTTAACCAATGTTTTTCGTAATCAGTCTTAGTAACTTAATTATCTACCTTTAACTTGTATTCATATCATGAATTATAATTTTAATCTTCTATCTATTTACTTAGCTCTGCCTATAGCCTTTCTAATGTTACTGCTGGTTCCAAACCTGGGTAAAAAAAGGAGAGTTTAGAATCGAGTTAGCAATCTCGTCTTATCAAAAAAAACTTTGTTGACTAAAGCTAATCAGAAAATGATTCGTTAGGTTACTAACTGATTATATTTATGTTTAGAAAAATTCATTATTAAATTGGTTTGTCATCATTTGTTTAACATAAATCATATACTTAAGTTAAATATCTATATACATTAATGTACATAGAGACTTGATGATGAAATGATTTAAAAGAAATGTTTTTTCGTTTGACTTGTGAATGGATTACATGAGTCTTCTCAATAATCTATTGAAGTGTACTTACTTATGCTTTGAGATTGTTTCTTATATTCATCTACTGTGACCGAGTTGACTATCTTGGTTAAATTTGACATAAGTACACATATATGTACATAATAGCTAATCTAACATTCATTAAAAATTGAATCTTATTACGACTGTTTTGAAAAGAACAGTATTTAAAAAAAATAATAAGCTGGTAACTATTT